TTCTGGAAAACTGCTGCTTGTAAATATCACTTCTCTATTATTGACCAAACAAACTCAAGAATGGGTGGGACTTCTGATGCAAACTTTACTAGCATACTGAGTGTTTTTAAGCCAAAAACCCAGAAATGGACGGACTGTTCCCTTAATAATCACGACCCTGCTGTGTGCTGCTGTTGCCTGAATTATAAACAGAGGTGGTTGGTTTAAGAATGACTTTATACCACAACACCACTCTGTCCATTTATACTGTGAGAGATGTAGGTGTGTGTTTTTACCTCTATTATACAATCCATCCATCAGATTGATAGAAGGAAGGCACGTTTCAACACTGGGACTAGAGTTTGCAGCAGGATCTGCACTTTCTCTTATCACACTGATTTTTATGCACCCTGGTGTGTGTGAAATACAGCATACACCACATTTTTGTACATATACACACACTGTTTGTGCATGAGGTTCAGTGTGTTTCCAGCCCACAGCTGCCAGAGCCAAATAAAAAAAAGGGTTAGTGGACACAGGCCCTTGTGGGAGCAGAAGTGGAGCTCATATTTAGTGTGGTCACACACAGCACTTGACTTTGACAACAGAGCTGTGAGTGTGTGTATATGTGTGTGTGTGTATGTGTGTGTGTGTCTCTGTGTGAGTGTGTGTATATGCATACAGTACTGCTGACCTTATATCACGTCTGAGTACATTTCAGTTTTTTTCTCCCTCAGCCTGCTGCTTTGCCAGGTTTTCTCTAGTAACAGGTACTCACACTTACACAAACACACACACACACAAATACACACACACACACACACACACACACACACACACACACACACACACACACACACACACACACACACACACATTCTTCCTGAGCGTGTTCCTGTGAGATGCTGACTCTGTGCCAGGCAGGATGAGGTGCATACATTGTCCCCCCGGTTGTCCTGCTGGGACTAAGCAGCTGTCCCTCCTGATGGATCCACGTCAGACTGAGTCTCTCTGGGACAGGACAGGAAGGGACGGGTGTCCAGACCCAGGGCATCATGGGTAACAAAGAGACAGGTTAGTGAGGATTCAGTGCTGATTTTCTGAGGGAGGAAAGTGCTCATCTGCACTTTCCCTCTCTCTCTCTCTCTCTCTCTCTCTCTCTCTCTCTCTCTCTCTCTCTCTCTCTCTCCCCTTGTTCCACTTTCATTTCCTCTTTCCAAACATTGCTCCCACAGGTGAACTCACACACACAGAAAAATCACTGCTTCTCATACCCTCTTTTCCTGCTCTCTCTGATACTTTTTCCATACATGCTGTTTCTAAGTTTCAGCAATTGAACTGAACAAACACTTCCACTTCTGTGAGTTTTTTGGTTTTGTTTGAGGACACCTATTATGTTGATCAATTTTTTAATACACAAGACGTTATGATGTTGGATGTACGTCCAATGCAAGTAGTTTCATTGTGTTTATTTTAAATGCTAAGTTAAGACAAAAATCTTCTGTTATGTTACCAGTAAAACTTAAAACCTAAATGTTTAACATCTGGCTACCCCTTTAAAAATCCATCCCCCCACCTCAATCAAAAAAATTTGGCTTCACCTCTGCTGCTAATCCATATAATTGGCAACTTGCAGCAAGCCCCAGACATTAACTTTAAAGGCAAAGACTTTCATGAAAAGCAACACTTGGTATCATATACTTGGTATCAGTGGAAAAGCAGCTAAGAAAAAGTAGAGGCTGAATAGTACTGAAATTAAAATTTTCTAACCATAAACAAAGAGAATTTTGAGCTACAATTAATGCAAAGCTCCTCCATGGTTGTCCCACACTGACATAATCAAAGGTGCAATAAGAATAATAGATCTCCTTTAAGGAGCCAGAGCTACCGAATTAGACATAGAAAAAAGTACACAAGCTACCTAATTTTACACACAATACATAACAGAACATGCATTACAGGACAAAATAAGTTTGCTTATTTGTTGAAAAACTGTTGTGCAAATTAACCACTGATATGACCTGACTCCCAAGGTTGAGTATATTTTCTGTACTACTCCCAAAGTTTTGATTTGGCACAGCAGTCAGAAGGTTGGGATAATCTTAAAGGTGAAAGTTACCTTTGGGTGGGATGAAAATCTATAATTCATTCCCGATCTCCCTCTCTGTTCACCATCATTGATAAACTTATCCCAGTAAGCTTCCCCTACAGGCCTAAAGCTCTAATGTTGTAATGACTAGTTTTTTGCATCTTGTGTGTGATATAAATGTAGTTATTTGGCAACAATTTTGTTGTACGTGTTTGCACTTTGCAGTCTGTTTGCAGTAGCTGAATATGTTTTTTTGCATCACTTTTCTTTCAGTTATTGTATTTGTGTTTTTTTATGCTGCATGTGTTTTTGAACGTGTTTCTATCGTTGCAGCCTGTTTCTCCAGACGGAAATCATTGCAGCACGTTAGCACTTCTTAACTTCCAAACACATGGATAGGCAAAACCCTCCATAAATGCAATTAATCAAATTCTATGTGATTAATAAAGAGGTTGCAAAAAAAGATTGATGCTTTAATGGGAGAAGACAAAACAAGTATTACTGATAATTCAAATTCACAATGTTTACTAAATGTCCACATGTCCAACAGATGAATATGTGATTACAGTAACCATCATGATCAAGGTGACCTTAAGTAACCTCTACAGTTAATTATTTCCTGTTCCCTTCCTTCTCTGACAGATCTGCTCTTTTTAGACTCATTTATTATCATTATCCTTGTATTAGTCTAGACACCACTAGCCTGGATGTACAATCTTAATAATTCACATAAATAATCTGATGACAGGGGGCCCCACTTAGAGATAATGAGGGATTTAAACAGCAGAGGGATCTATACTGGAGAGATACACTGCAGCAGCAGAGCATATTATCCATCAATAACACGCTGCATGTTAGAGTATAAGGGAAAATGTGATACCAGTCCAGTGTGTGTGTCTATGATCAATACAGCAGGTCCTGAGGCATCAGACACTCTGACTCACTGTGTAAATCTGAACTCAGAGATGAGGACGAGTGACCTGGTTACTGTATCATTTCTGTGCAGCAGGGTTGTGTTTAATGGATCAGTATCTAATTGGGTCTTTTTTTTTTTTGGTCAGTTGGTGCAGAAATATTGATAATTTCTCACAGGAAAAGTGCAGTTTTTGATACTGATGGTGTAAAAATTCACTGTAACAGTCCTCAGAGCAGCTAGTGATAATGACAGAGTTTACAGCACTCCTAAAAGTTTGGGTGCAGACAGTAAGTTGAGTAGTAGATAAAAGAATAAAGGACTTTCAGCCATGATCTGTTAATTTGGGTTAATCAAGGTGATTTTTTAAATTGCATGCATTTTGTAGTGAAGTCTCTCAAGCTTTCTCCTGCGTCCTGCATTTTTGAAAGGCTCTTTTAACCAAAAAAAAAAAAACAGAAAAACCTTGTAAATATAATGCAAGTGAATTAAACATAATCAAAGTACTTCGATTGTCAGCTTATACCCATGTGCAAAGCTTACAGGTAGCAGAATGATGTCGACAGATGACTGAATAAGAAAGGCTAGCAGTAGAGACCTGTGGAAGAAGCTAAATCAGAGAAAATAGAGAAGGCAACCAAACTGGAACTCCTGGAAAGTGCAAGTGCTCATGCATTAAGCAGCAATCCCTGGATGTCAGTAAATGATCAAAATAATCTCAGCATACAGTTTCTGCACACCAAATTGACGCTGTCCAAAATTGAAGCAGAGCAGAGCAGCTGGAAGCCGTGTCAAACTGTGTCCACTATAAATGCTCAGATCGTTGTCCCAAGAATGTAATGGCAAGGGTCTCCTTGACCTTCCACTTAAGTAAAAATACAGTAAAAGTAAAAATATGTGTTGTCCATTTTATACACTCTTTGTGTGAAGCCTGTTACATTTCACTGAAAATACATCAAAATCTGATGGCAACAGCAAAAACAAAATAAAAGGTCTTTGGAAAGGAGATATGATTTATTCGGAGACTTTAAACCAAAGAGATTATGAGAAACATTAGAAAATGTCAGTGAGAATAAAACAGATTTGTGGTTTTGCAGTAATATTTAACATATTCACTGTACAGAGATCTGGAAAAGTGAAAACCATTATTCACTTGGATGCATCTTTCCATTTTCTGTGCTTAACCTCTAAATTCAGATCTTCCCCGGGCTTTCCCAGAAACCAGACACCTTCAGGACTGTAATAATATTTCATACAGACTGTGAACATCCAGAGACGTGGTGCAGAGCTCCAAGGGAATGATGCTTTAACCATCCTTCTATCTACCCAGCCCCAGCTCCACGTTAATGTCTGCAGGATGAATCAGAGCTGCTGCATGTTTTCACAGCCTGATTTACATCCACTCTGAGAGCTGCTCCACGCTCCTGTACACTCCACGGGACTCAAACCCACGGCTGTCTCTGCAGCAGAAAAAATGGTTTTAATGTGAGCAGGAGAAGATGTGAGTCAGAGCAGATGGATGTAAAGTCTGCTGCACTTCTGCTGCTACAGAGATGATGGAGTGAAACACCGAGAGGCAGAGCAACACTCTCCTGTATGAGGCAGCCATTAAACCTCCAGCAGCCATACAGGAGACTGTAAATATAATGTTCCTGCAGATTACTTTGCCCTATCATTTCCACCCTCACCTACTTTAATGCCTGCCTCTCCATCTCTTATTTAAATGTGAGGCTCTGAGCAGGCAGGGAAAGAGGAGCAGGACATAAAAATAACCCTGCAGCTCCTCGTGCAGATGTCAGCCCCAGAGAGAAGGGAGCAGAGACAGGAGTCAGCTAAGAAGAAAGGAGGGAAGCTCCCTCTGATCTGTTATGGGCAAAGGAGGCGGAGGAGTGAGTCATCCTGCAGAGCCACTGAGCTAAATGACTTTTTCTCCCCCCACTCTGAGGTCAGCTGAGGTAGAGTCTTTCAGGTGCATGAAATCCCGCACAGATTACCATCAGAGAAACTCTACTGTTTAGCTCAGTTTTCTGGGGCAGGCAGTCATTCCAGGACGGAGGAGAGGCCAGAGAAGGTGACAGCATCAGTCATTACGAGTGCATGAACTCCTCAGTCTACAGTCGCCCATGGAGAACCTCGGTGTGGGGGTGAGACTCGATACAGGCTCAGGGCGCCCAGGGCAGAGAAAACTATAGAGAGCAGCTCAAGCTCTTTGAGAAGGAGAGAAAAAGAGAACTTTGAGGAGCCAAACACAGGGAAACGTGACTCTAAATTTCCCAGACTCTTCAGCCTTGAGAGCAGAGAGCCAGACATGCTCATGGTTATGATAATTATAACTATAAAGAACTTTCTCAGGGACAAAGAGAAGAAACAGGCCTTTACCTTATCAAGCTGGAGATGACTCCCGCTATTGAAAGGTCATAATTTCTGACCAAACAGAAACTTTCAAGAAAAATTATGTCACAGCAGTAATCCCAAAACCTGCAGTTATCGAGGTGTCCACTGGGGGCTACTTCCTAAAGTAAGTCAGCCCCGAAGAACTCCTGCTTATTTTCCTTCTTAAAGTCAATCAATCAAATCAAATCAAATCAAATGTTATTTATATAGCGGCAAATCACAACAATTGTTATCTCAAGACGCATTCCAAAGAAGAAGAGCAGGTCTAGACTACACTACACTTGTTTGATGAAATATCTGTCCTTAAGAAAGGACAGATTTAACCCATCTCATTTAAAATGAGTGACAGTGGCAAGGAAAAACTTCCTTTCAAAGTCAGAAGCACTCAACAAGATGCTGTCAGGTTTTCAGGACGATAATGTTGCTGTTTGTGCACTCCACTTTACTGGTGATCAGGGTCGGTGTAAGATGGTATTTACTGGCTTTTTGGTCGGTTTCAGAGGCAGCTGTCTGACAGAAAAATACATCATCAGTCAAATTCTCCAGCAGCAAAATGCCTGCTATATAATATACATGCAAGTCTAAAGGGGGCATGTAAAAAGTAACACCCACAAGTTGTATCACTGCAAAAACAGTCAAAGAAAAGTGTTTGAGGCAGCAACTAAAAAAGTGCTGGAATCAGTGTTTAACAAATATCAGTACAAGATAAATAAGGAGCTTTTTTGTACTGTATATCCCAAAAATCCACCTTCAAGTGTCCCAGACTGAGTAAATCAGTTAATTCTGTGAAAATGAGAGTAATAGGTCTCCTTTAAGAAAACAAGTCATCCAGTCTTGCATAAAGCACAAAGGTTAATGAGGCTTTAATGGGGTGTCACAGCAAAATTTATAGACTCTATTAATAAGGCAGTTTTCATATAACAGGTTCAAAGTGTTAAATCAGGGTATAACAGTTAGATAATAATCATTATAAAACAATAGATTCAATAAAAAAAGACACTGCATGAACCAAAGACGAGTGAACAAAGTCTCTGAATACTGAGGATGTTTGATCATCGAGACACACTGTCTGTTTTCATCCTGAGCAGAGCTTACTGTAAAGCTGCTTTCGTGGGCAGAATTAATGGAAGATGACTTCTGAAGTCAAAGTCAGTCATTCAGAGTGCCCACAAACAGATGTCGGGGGCTGAAACCGCCCAAGTCAAACACATTACGCCATGTTGGTCGACTGCTGGAATAAAAATGTTTAATCTAATATTCACCGCACACTGTGACTCAGACATAGAGAGAAACCCATGTCAATGCTGAGGCACAACTGTCCCCTCTCTATCTGCCCTCAGTGCTCCATACCCAACCAGGCCTGAAAACAATGACCTGAATTACCACGTAATACACACCCTGGTTCAATCAATCAATCAATCAATCAATCAATCAATCAATCAATCAATCAAATAATGTTTAATTATACAGCGCCATATCACAACAATAATTATCTGGAAACTTTACAACATTTCCCAACCTTGAGATGGGAAAAGATTTGACCCATCTCAAACCAACATGAGTGAAGCACTTTGCAGTATTTAGCAAGTTATGGTGGCCGGAAAAACCTCCCTTTAACAGGCAGAAACCTTGAGCAGAGCCAGACTCATGTTAGACAGCTACCTGCCACCACTGGGTTGGGGAAAATTTCATCCTTATGCTGTGATTACACCAAACAAAAAAAGAATTATATATTAGCGTAAATTATTAAGTTAATGTAAAGATGTGCTAGACAGGAGTCATTACGGGGCGTCAAAAATTATATGAATTTGAGATGTGTTTGACACTCTACCGGCTTGATTTACAAGACTTAAAAAATCTGATCCCACTTCTGCTGTGATGGCCAATAATTTCCTGATGAAGTATGTCAATAACAAACAGGTGGCGGTTTAGTCATCTGGGAAACGGAGGACAAATTGATGGTGAAGTTGTACTGCTACCTGAGCTTTAGGATACAACTTTATTTTTCTATTGAAACAGGAACTAAAAGGAGTTCACCTAGAGGAGAGCGAGTAAGGAAGTCAAATTATCTGGTAAATAGTGCAAACACACCAAATTCTCACCGTGTAGTCATCTTAGACCTTGTTTAATATGATTGCGATAGGATGATGTTAACCACTCCTATCCTTCACAAATTCACATGTTTGGGCACTACCACAGACACACCATAGCATGCGAATGGAGCAAGTCATTCGTGTGACTACAGCAGATCAACACAAAAGATTCTGATGCTCGAATATGTCTGGCGTATTTGATTCTGGCGTGAGCTTATCTATTTAACCATACCAGGGCTGAAGAAGTGGACCATGCCTGAGAGCGGTACAGATTACCTATAAACCCAGATTCTGCAGTGTTGTCCCGTGAGCCTGATACTCCTGGAGCAATTATTGATGATTCTCCTAAAACCACAGGTAGATAAAGTACTTATACAACAAAGAAATGAGCGAAAAAAATGTTTTTTTGTGTCACCTGCTCAGATAAACCCTCTGGGAATTGACCCTCACCATAAAAAGCTCTTATACTGAGGTGTGATTCCTTGGATCTGTGCGAGACAAAATCAAACCAGCACACCATGGCACCAAGCTCTGTTGGCACCTTTTCTCTCTTTGCTGATTTTTCCCCCTTTTTTAATCAGGATGGAGCTCAGATAGTGTCCCACACAGATGGATTTAGAGACTTGATGTATTACCCAGTAATAATATTCAAGGGTGGACTACAGAGACATCCAACTTCCAGAGACCAAGTTGGACAGGAGAGCGAACAGCAGGCCAACATGTGTAGCATAATGAGAAAAGTCCAATAACACTGGAATGTATTAAAAACAGACTTGTGTTGGGTTTCTCTGATCTCTTGTTGCATGCTTTGCCATCAGTATTAACTTAAGGTATTGATCTGTTTTTAATAATCAGACTGTTGAATATTATATCTCTGTGTACTGCTGTTAAAGATTGAGCTCTGTGATTTCTCTGCAAACACAAAAGACTGAAGATTTATCCGACAGACTTTTTATTAAACAGGGTTTGTGTATCTTCTCCCCCTCTATACAGTACGGAGAAACTCTTATTGGCAATAACACAAATATACACTCAGTGTGTTTGGTAATATAATCGTGGTGATCTGTCTCATATTGGACTGAGAAAAAGCTTCCCCCTGTGTTTCTGCAGAGCCTCATTCAGCTGAAATATCATCCCCCTGATCTCTGAGGAGGATTTCTTTTACTGCAGACTTTATTCTCTCTGGCAGAAGAACCAAACCTCACGTCGCTCTGCCAGCTCTCTAACAGCTGAAACAGCTGCTGCAGTCAGGGAAACCCCTGAGAGAGGAGTTCTTCTAAACACTCATTCTTTCAGGTTTTTATTCGGTCTTTGTTGGGCTGTTTTCATCCCCTGGTTTTATTTTTCTCTCACTTGTTAACAGCTGAGGGAGTCAGGACATTAATCACACTCAGTGTTTCAGAGGCTGGCTGTTGGGACTTGATCCAGATCACAGGCTGTATAAATAATGGACGAAGCCAGCAAAATGTCACCCACCAGTCTGCAGAGTGGTAATCTCTATCTTCAGATCTAAATAAAATGCAGGACCAGATTTTGTACTTATAAGTCCTCTGCTTTTCATTTGTTGTCCAATTGTTACAGTCTATTTCAGCAGGCTTTGGCTGTACACAGGAAGTAACACATGCTCATTCTTTGTTCAAGGATTGTAGCCCAAGAGACCGTCAATATCCATTTAGCAGCAGTAAATGTGTTAGCATATCAGAGCTAGATTGGGTAATTTGATTGATCATATCCCCATCTTCTAATGACATCAAGCACAGGATGGGATACTTGTTTATTGTAATCATGTACTATCACTGAGCTCCAGGTGGTAAATTGTACAAGCCTTGATAATCTTGAAATTGTGATCATTTTACATCTCCCTAATTGGATGTGTTTACACGCACAGTAATGAATCAATCATTATCTAATTTCTGGTGTCATCTGATTACTCAAGCATTCATCTAAACTGTATAATCTGAAACTGTTTTGTAGATAAAGGCCAGTATTGAGTCATTTAAAATTGTGTAAATGCACAGCGGATTTTTGCCTAATAACTCCTTTTTTTAGTGTGTATGATAAAATCCCTTTTGCTGTTTCAATACATGTGTGCATGTGTAAAGAATGCAAGCAGATGCAGAAGAAACTGCAAATTTGGCAAACAGCAGCACAGTACATTACTAAACAAAATGAAGGACAAGAATATTCTTAATCTCCAGAGCTGGAACAGGTCCATTAATTGTTAATTGTGAGCATTATTTTTATTATTTGATTTATTTTGGGGCTTCTTTGTCTTTAATTGACTGATAGAGGACATTGGAAAGAGAAAAAAGGGAAATCAGGGAATGACATACAAGAAAGGGGCCACAGGGTAAACCCAGGCCACCTGCATATGTAGGCTGCACCTCATCAACTGGGCTACTGCCACCCTAGCATCAATTATTACCAGTAACTTTTAACATTAATCTTAATTTGAAACCTTTAACTTCTGTTTCTGTTACATAATGGTTTTAGTCTTACCTGACTCCACAGCAGGATTGCAGCTCTGTAGCAGCAGACAGTAGCCTCTCGACACTGGGATGGGGTGAGTACATGTCCATCAGGAATGACTTGGCTCGAAGCTCCAGCTCCTGTGGGCCAAAATGGTTCTATGAAAAGCTCTCTGGGAGTTGAAAGAGCTGGTTCTACCAGATTCAAATGACCCCAGTCATTAAAAAAATTCTAATTCCCTTCACCAGGAGCATTCATTCACGCTGAGGTTGGAACCCTGACATATTCAGACCAAGACTGCTTTTCAGACCAGACTGTAAACATGTTCATTTTTTGCTCAAGAGCTTGTTTTATTTGGCTTAGTGTGCATGTCTGGTCACTGAAAAAAGGCCATGTCCCCAATTATACAAATCTTAATTCCTTAGGTTGTTAAGTCAAAAAAAAAAATCATTGTTTTGTTTTTCATGAT